TGGTACACGGGCCTCTCACTGTTGTGGCCTCTCCTGTTGCGGAGCACAGGCTCCGGACGCGCAGGCTCAGCGGCCATGGCTCACGGGCCCAGCTGCTCCACGGCATGTGGGATCTTCCCAGACCGGGGCACGAACCCGTGTCCCCTGCATCGGCAGGTGGACTCTCAACCACTGCACCACCAGGGAAGCCCAACACTGTGCTTTTAATAATCAATATGATGACAAATTATTTTCAGAGGGTATGTTTTTTTAAGCTACGTGCTTTGAAGTAAACAATCTTTTAAAGATAGCTCATTGAATCGTTCATATTTTAGTTTATATTATCTATTTATGGAAGTAGTAATTGATTTTAATGAGTTAACCATATGCCAGTATTTCCAGATTTAATGTAAGATACCAATAACAGATGTCATCTAGGGACATGTGAGAGTCGGAACAATTATTAACAGACTGCCAGCTTCTCATTTTTTAATTACACTACTCAATCAAAACACTCAGTTAGTGGGACTAAAATTGATTACTCCAATAATTTCTTTTATTTACATTTATGGAGTTTGGATCTAAACAGTCAAACTCTGTCTCAGGGGAGCAATGGAATAACTTTTGCATTGGGTAAATTTTATGAAATTCCTTTATGCCTTTTTTCCCCACTAATTATTCAACTGACTTCCAAAGGGAAGTGAACTGAATCAAAAAAAAGGGAAACGACTGAAAGGAAGAATTAAGAACCCAGCCCAGTGTGGCAGAGATAATAGTATTTCAATTAGAGTGTAACCTGACTTCTCTCTTGGGGATAGAGAATGGGTTCCATTTTACCATCTAATTTAAATCTTACCAATACACAAACTCTTGATAATGTTGGATTTCAGCATATTGGAAAGTAACCAGATTTGTAGCATGTAATATAAGTTAGTATACTTTGTTTGCTGATGAAATTTTGTAAAGATTCCTAATTAAGAATTTTTAAAATGACAATTTTAAATATAAAAAAAGGTTGCAGGGCTTCCCTGGTGGCGCAGTGGTTGAGAGTCCGCCTGCCGATGCAGGGGACACGGGTTCGTGCCCCGGTCTGGGAAGATCCCACATGCTGTGGCCCGTGAGCCATGGCCGCTGAGCCTGTGCATCCGGAGCAGCCCGCGTAATGCAAAAAAAAAAAAAAAAAAGGTTGCAAAAATAAAAATAGGACAGAGAACACCCCAGTACCCTAATCCAGATTTACCTGTCATGAACATTTTTTCTATCATTTGTGAACGTGCACGCTGACACGTGTTGGAGTATCCTTTTCTCCCCTCCCTCCCTCCCTCCCTTTCTCACGCTGTATATGTGCAATTTGGGGGGGAAATATTTGAAGATCAGTTAAATACATTATGATTCTTTACTCCTAGATTCTTCAGTGTGTATTTCCTGAGAATAAGGGTATTTTTTACATAACCACAGTACAGTTATCAACCTCAGTACATTTGCATTGATAGAATATTCTAAAATGATTTTTAATAAAAATTAAAAAAAATAATTGTATTCTGATTTTAGAAGTATTTTCAGTGCAGAAAATTTGAAAAATGCCGAATAGCCAAATGAATAAAAATTGCCACTAGAAAACCCTGTTTTTATTTTGTTTTATGTCTTTCTTATCCTTTTTTCAAGATAAAAGCATAGTGGTTTTTTTGTGTTTTTTTTTAAATTAATTAATTAATTTTTGGCTGCGTTGGGTCTCTGTTGCTGTGCGTGAGCTTTCTCTAGTTGTGCCTGAGTGGGGGCTACCCTTCATTGTGGTGCACACGCTTCTCATTGTGGTGGCTTCTCTTGTCTCAGAGCATGGGCTCTAGGTGCGCAGGCTTCAGTAGTTGTGGTGCAGGAGCTTAGTTGCTCCAGGGCACGTGGGATCTTCCTGGACCAGAGCTCAAACCCGTATCCCCTGCACTGGCAGGCGGATGCCTAACCGCTGTGCCCCCAGGGAAGTCCCAACACAAGCATTATGTATGTTTTTTGTGAACAAGCAAGCAAGCATTATGTATGTTTTTTTGTGAACATATTTTAGGTGTTATTAAGATTTTTTCTAAAACGTTTTTAATGGTTCTAGAGAATTCCAGCATATGAGTAAAAGATGATATATTTAATCAGGTTTCTATTAGACATTTAGATTGTATCCACTGATTGTCTATTATAAATAACTTTTTGATATACATTCTTATGGGTAAATTTTTACAATTATATCTTTAGGATAAGTTCTTAGAAATGGAATGTCTAGGTCAAGGAATATGCACGTTTTATTTTTATTTATATTTATTTATTTATTTTTGGCCATGGGGCTTGTGGGATCTTAGTTCCCTGATCAGGGATTGAACCTGGGCCACAGCAGCGAAAGCGCCAAGTCCTAACCACTGTACCAACAGGGAATTCCCAAGGAATATGCATATTTTAAAGATGAAATAAATCACAAGAGACATATTGCTAGGTTGATTTCTCTAAAGGTATTAGTTTACTTTGCCACCAGTGTGAGAAAGTCCTGTTCACTTTGCAACTGATTTTGGGGTTTGTTAGATTTTTAAAAATTTTACTTGCTTTGGAGCCTGGTTATTAAATAGTTGTTTAGAGAAATATTTAGGATAATCATTACTATGTTAGTTTGGGTGTGAAACATATACAGAATTGTTCCTTTGGACAGACGTGATGGTCCTAACTTTTGTCCCCCCCAGATTCCTCCTTCAGTGCAGCCAGGGCTGTCCCCTCCAACCCAGCAGCAGGCACCTGCTAGACCTGCGGGTCCCTCTGTGCAAGCGTCATCTCTTTTTCTACTTCAAAACCAGTATGAACCTGTCCAACCCCACTGGTTTTACTGCAAGGAGATAGAATACAGACAACTATGGATGCCTTTCAGTGTGTTTGACTCTTCGAATCTTGAAGAAATCTATAACTCAGGTAAGCACAAATCCTGCATCATTTGTATCTGATTTTAGGAAGAGAGAAATGAAGAGTATTTATCCATGGCCTACTTTTTATGAATGTCAAATTCTTTAATCCTTGTAGAGCCGGCCAGCCTCTGTACCTTAAGATGATAATATTAATGTAAGTTCTGAGTTATTTGAGCAAGGTATTTGAAGAAATGTTTTAGTAATTTTCTTTTTTTGTTTAAAGGTAGTTTAAATCCAAGAAATAGAGTCGTTCATATAACCCAGGTGTCAGTTTTCTTATTTGCCTTATTTGTTTGTAGCTATAGGGCGTTTATAAAGCATTTTCTATGGAACTCTTGTTACTGAAGATGCTGTGAAAAAAGTGTTCCATGGTCAGATGAGTTTTGGAAGTGCTGTAACTACATCCATCTCTTGAGATAGTGCACAAGAGCGTGTTAAGACTCTTGAGAAGTCTTCACTATAGAAGTAGGTTTCTTTGTTTATCCTGATGATATTTCATCTTGGGACTTAAAAATCACCTATTTTTTAGAAGTATGCTTCTTGGAGCATTGCTGCTTTGATTTAAAAAAAAAACAAAAAACTATCAATTATATCAATTATTTGAATTATTTCATGATCATGCTTTTATATTTTACCCTCGTTATTTCTTCTCCACTTAAAAGGATCATCATTTTGAGCAGCACAGATTAATCTTAAATTTCTGTTTTTTTAAAAAAATGAGCTTAGTTCTTTGTCTTTAAGGATAGGCGAGTCACCATATTCATTATTTATTACTTTTAAATGTACCTTGTAACTGTCGATTTAAAATGTGGTCTTTGTGCTCCAGTCCAGCCAGACCCTGAGAATGTGGTTCTAGGCACTGATGGAGGGCGTTACGACGTTTACCTCTATGACCGGATGAGGAAAGCCGTGTACTGGGAAGAGGAGCCAGCTGAAGTGAGACGCTGTACTTGGTTTTACAAAGGGGACACAGACAGCAGATTTATTCCCTATACAGAGGAGTTCAGTGAAAAACTGGAAGTACGTGGGCTTTATTCCTTTATGCTTTTCTTTAAAAGCATAGACTCTATACGTTGGAGCCTCATGTAACACCACTCACAGTGGAGCAGACTTTATTTACAAGACAGCCTATCTTGATCCTTTGCTGCAAAGAAGATTGCCTTTTAATTGGTGTCATCTTTTATGAGGTGCTAATTGTGGCCTCGGTGTCTAAAGATAGAATGTTTTTCAGGGGAACATCACAGATCTAATATAATAAGGTACTTACATCAAATCTTCCAAAGAGCTTAGGCTGCTATGATATGCTGCTGACAACACATGCCAAGCAGATGGACGCTTTTCAAATTAATATTCAGTAAAAGGCTTGAAATTCACCTCTGGTTTATGAAAACAAATATAAGAATAGGAACAAATATTGTGAGACTTTTTAGCCATCTTAAAATTGGTGGTTAATGTTGTTTTACATAATTGTGTTAATTTCTTGTTATAATTCTACTTAATAATTGAGTAATTAAATATTTGAAATAAGTTAAATGAATTCATCTGCATACATGGGAAATGGAGTATGGAACATTTTAGTTACTATTTTTTAATGTATTAACTAAAACTTATGTAACCAACACTAACGTTAAACATTAAAACAATACTAATATTGACATTAAAAGGGACCTCTAAAATGTTAATCTTCCCTAGATTCATATTTTGAAAGCTTCGAACAAGGACTGGGCTTTATGTTCTGTTTAGGAGCTGACAGTCAAGTTTAGCAACTGACTGTTAATTACTAAATTTTTTTGTCCTTGAAGAACATCATAATATAATTAATAGAAATAAGAAAAAAATTAAATCACAATCTTGTCATCCTTTCAAATAAAATGTTACATTTTAAAAATATTTTTTTAAACTTCTTTATTCATATACGTGTTTTTCTTTTTTTTTTCCGTGTTTTCCTTATAGCTATAATAGTACAGATTTTTTGTGGAGTATTTTGCTTTTTCAAAAGAAAATTTGTAAATGTAATCCTTAGTCATAGTCATTATCAATTGTGCCTGCCCTAGAAATATTAATCTTTATAATAGTGACTATGAAATACTGTTCTATAACCAAAACAGTACAAAAAGGTGAATATTGGCCTGAAGTTAAGACATGTTAGTTGGGGTTAAGTAAATTGGAAAAGAAGCTTGTTGAGAACAGAGGCTTCAAATGTTTTTCATTTCAATGCATATTAAGAATACATTTTAGATTGAGATTTAGTACACACATTTTACACACACACACACACACACACACATATGAGTATGTGTGTGTGTTTATCAGAGGCAGTGGTGTTTGGTAAACTGGCTCTCCAGGGGAAAAAAACCCTGATTTATAGTGTTTGCTGATTTCCATGGTGTAAATACTCCCACCATGGCCAATAGCAACATGATGTAACTAGACACAGAGTTGGGAAGCGGTATGTGTGATCAGCTCTTGTGAGCTGGTATGAGTGAGCTCTAACGCACCATTAGAAACAAAGAAAGGTTCATGGAACAACACTTACCTCACTAGGTGTCATTCAGTTAGATATTTTCTATGTCATTGAAAATATTAATTTTACAGTTTGTTGCTGGTCATGACCCACAGTTTGAAAAACACTGATTTAGAGCTGAGTCAGAACCCAGGTAAGAAGGGCAAAGACTGAAAAGAAGGCATAAAATTAATTTTGTTCCTGGAAATACCAAATATCAGGAGGTACCAGTCTCCTCAAACATAATTTTAATCATTTGAATAAGGAATAAAATATGTAAAGGAATGCTGATATCTTTGGCTTAATTTTAGACCTAAATAAATAAACAAACAAATGTGTACTATAATTTTTGGTACCCTTGACAAGACCCTACTGAAGGTATAGCATCCCAAGATTGAATGTTTAGTCCTATTATTTTGAAGCTAGAGTATATATTTTCAAGTCTAAGTATTTGAAAGTGTATACTATATTTGATTATAAATGGGTGACACAGGCTTCGAGGTCAATTCATGTATTGACCGTCTCAATAGCACATAGCTGTTCTTAACTTTAGGAGACCTTAGTTCCTGTTCAGCCTCTACCCAGGAGACTCACGCCAGATCAGGGAAGAGGCAGAGGAGGTTAGGAAATGAAAAAGCCAGTGAGAAAATGAGAATCAAGTGATAGATATTGCTAGTGTTGTAGATGATCCTATCCTATCAGAGCACTAAAACAAAACAATAGAAGAGTTGGAAACAAAAAACACCTTAATTTGATAATTACACCAGTGTCTGCATAGAAAACCAGGAGAACCTCTAGAAATTCCATTAGTACCAGTGTAAGAGTTCAGCAAGTCTGTGGATATAAAATCAGCATATAAAAATTAATAACATTCCTACACAATAGAAATAACCAATTAGAAACCATAATAATAAAAGAAGACTATAACACTAGCAAAACTACAGGCTAAGTAGAAAAATCGTCCAACAAAAGGTATATATGAACTTTGTGGAGAATAAACTATGAAGCAGAATTGAAGGATGTAAAAGATGACCTCAAAGAAATAGACCAAAATATTACATTCATAGATGCACAGTCTCAACATAATAAAGATGTCATTTCTTCCCAAATTATTTTATAAATTGTATGTAATCCCAATCAGTCACATCAGGGTTTTTTAAGTAAAATTTTCAGACTGCTCCTAAATTTTATATGGAAGATCAAAGTATCAAGAATAATCAAGACCATTTTGAAGAATGATAAGTAGAAACATACTCTACCAGACAAGATTTATTATAAAGCTGTGGATTGAAAGGGAATACGAAGAAATGAAAATAATTCTTAAGATGGTGAATCTTTAAACATTTTTGTTTGTGATCTTGCTTTTAAAAAAATGTAAACAAATATATTAAAAAATTTTTTTAAAGTAGTGAGGAAGAGGGTCAGCTGGATAGAGGCTGATGGAGAGGAATTGTTACTGAATGACTGCCCAGGAGACAAAAAGAAACACTTCTATTTTGACATGATTGTCAAATAATCACTGTTACTCATTTTAAAAAATATTTATTTGGTTGCACCAGCTCCTTAGTTGCAGCACGTGGGCTCCTTAGTTGTGGCATGTGACCTCTTAGTTGTGGCACGCATGTGGGATCTAGTTCCCTGACCAGGGATCGAACCCAGGCCCCCCGCATTGGGAACGCAGAGTCTTCACCGCTGCGCCACCAAGGAAGTCCCACTGTTACTCATTTCAAAAAAGACTTTGGACAGTGGATGTACTAGAGGTTCCCCCTTACCTGGTCTTGAATCTCTCTCCAAGAGACCCTCAGACTTTTGCCTTATAGAGAGCAGAATAGTGTCTCTGGAGGGAGAGTAAGAAAGTGGTGGGACAGTCAAGTCTTTGGAGTCAGAAGGTCGTGGGTGGGAGTGAACCACAGTTCTGCTTTTAGTCCTTACCTCTGTGATCACTGTGTGGTCTTGTGCAACTGTGAATTAAAAATGCCTGCTAGCATTAGAATTGTGTCTGCCCCCCCCATCAAAAAAAAAAGAGATAGGTTGAGATCTTAACTTCTAGTACTTCAGAATGTGACTTTATTTGGAAATAGGGTTGTTACAGATATAATTAGTTAATATGAGATCATACTGGAGTAGGGTGGGCCCCTAATTCAATATGATTGGCGTCCTTATAAGAAGACAGTCATGTTAAGACAAACATAGAGGGAGAAGGCCATGTGAAAGTAGAGGATTGGAGTGATGCATCTGGAATACTACAGATTGCTGACAGACCACCAGGAGCTAGGAAGAGGCGAGGAAGGAGTTCCCTATGAGTTTCAGAGGGAATGTGGCCCTGCTGACACCTTGGTTTCAGACTTCTAGCCTCTAGAATTGTGAGGCAATAAGTTTCTGTTTTTATAAGCCACTCAGTTTGTGGTACTTTGTTATGGCAGCCCTAGGAAATTAATAGACTGTTTAAACCTTGGTTTTCACCTCTATGTAATGGGGATAATATTATTTAGGGCTGATTGAGAGCAGTTAAGTGAGGTACTGTATGTAAAATGATAAGTATGGTAGCCAGTTAGTACAGGAGAGCTGCTATTACTATTATTTTTATTACTATCATAGTTATAATTTTCTTCCACACTTTCTCTTAATAGATTTGTCTTACTGGATTGTATGTTGTTTCCCTTGTAGGCTGAATATAAAAAAGCTGTAACTACGAATCAGTGGCACCGCAGATTAGAGTTTCCGAGTGGGGAGACAATTGTTATGCACAATCCAAAGGTAGTGATGTTGTTTAAGATATTAAAGTGTTTGGGTATTTAAAAATAATTATTTTACTGAATGTTTGATAAATGTTCATTTTTACTCTGCAGTAGGGATATATTTATAACAAGTGCATTGCTTTTAAGTTTACTACAGTTCATATCGATGATAGAAACTAAAATGAAATTTAAATTTGTCTCATGAAGTTTCTGTTTATGGTAACACAGTAGCTGAAGCTTAGTATGCATCGTTGAAGTTAAGCTTGATAAATTTTTGTACTTGATCCAGGCTCAGCAGACTTTTTTGTGAAGGGCCAGAGAGTAAATATTGAAGGCTTTGTAGGCCATGTAGTCTCTGAAAGCAGCTACAGGCAGTATGTAAGCCAATGGGCCTGGCTATTTTCAATAAAATGTTATTTATAAAAACAAGTGGTGGGCCAGGTTTGACCTGCAGGCAATAGTTTGCCTACCTTGCCCTTGATGATGGTTTGTTTCAACCTTTAAAGTAAAAATAAGTTCTTCCTCTTTATTTGTATCATCTCTGGAAACCTTTCTTGTTTTTTTAAAGATATTGGGTGTGGTGTTTAGAGTCTTCCATTTACCATCCTTAATCTCTCTAAGCTCCAGGTTCCTCACTTGCAGTAAATAGATTTACCTCCCAGGGTCATATTTTTGATGAAGTGAGGTAATTTATGCAAAAGCATCTAGCATAATGCTAGTAATATGGTAGTTTCTCAGAACATAGGCTATTTATTACAGAAAAGTGTAAAAGAAAAAAAAAACCTATATTCTAACCACCTCTATAGTCCTTACTGATGTTAAAATAAGTAAAAATAAAAACATTCATATGCCATCAAAGTTTAAACAGTATAAAAGGGTATCAAATGAAAAACAAAAGCCTCTTACCTCTGCATTCCCCTAGTTTCGCCTCTTAATGGTAACCACACTTACCCTTTTGTTTTTTAATTTTTTTTTTAACTTTTGTTTTATATATAAGCACACAAAATTTTACATACCATTTTGGATGCATTCTTTTTTTTGGGGGGGGGGTGGAAGGTTAATGTTAAACTATCAATTTATTTTATTTTTTTAATTGAAGTATAGTTGACTTACAATATTATATTTGTTTCAGGTATACAGCATTGCAATTCAGTAGTTTTACAGATTATACTCCATTAAAAGTTATTACAAAATAATGGCTATAATTCTCTGTGCTGTACAATATATCCTTGTTGCTAACCTATTTTATACGTAGTAGTTTGTGTCTCTTAATTCCATACTCCTCTCTTGCCCTACTCCTTTCCCTGTCCCTACTGGAACCACTACTTTGTTTGTTTTTTTTTTAATCTGTGAGTCTGTTTCTGTTTTGCTGTCTATTGATACATTCGTTTTATTTTTTAGATTCCCCAAATAAAGTGATATACAGTATTTGCCTTTCCCTGACTTATTTCACTACACACATTTTCTAGGTCCATCCATGTTGCTGCAGATTGCAGAATTTCATGCTTTTTTATGGCTGAGTAATATTCCTTCGTGTGTGTGTGTATATATGTATGTATGTGTACCACATCTTCTTTATCCATTTGTCTGTTGATGGACACTTGGGTTGCTTCCATATCTTGGCTGCTGTAAACTGTGCTGCTATGAATTTTTTTTTTTTTTTTTTTTTTTTTTTTTTTTTTTGGCCGTGTTGCACAGCTTGTGGGATCTTAGTTCCCCAACCAGGGATTGAACCTGGGCCCCTGGCAGTGCAAGCCCAGAATCCTAACCACTGGACCACCAGCGAATTCCCCCTAGGTATTTTATTCTTCATGATGAGATTTTAGGCAGGATTGTCTTTTTTTGCTTTCTCTTTCTGATAGTTCATTATTAGTGTATAGAAAAGCAACAGATTTCTGTATACTAATCTTGTATCCTGCAACTTTACTGAATTCATTTATCAGTTCTAATAGTTTTTTGGTGGAGACTTTAAGATTTTCTATATATAGTGTCATGTCATCTGCAAATAGGGACAGTTTTACTTCTTCCCTTCCAGTTTGGATACCTTTTATTTCTTTTTCTCTGACTGCTGTGGCTAGGACTTCCAATACTATGTTAAGTAGAGGTGGCAGGAGTGGGCATCCTTGTCTTGTTTCTGAATTTGGAGGAAATATGATCAGCTTTTCATCACTGAGTGTGCTGTTAGCTGTGGGTTTTTTCATAAATGGCCTTTACTATGTTGAGATATGTTCCCTCTGTACCAACTTTGATGAGAGGTTTTTTTTTTTTTTAACCATGAATAGATGTTGAATTTTGTCAAATGCTTTTCTGAATCTGTTGAGATAATCGTGATTTTTAATCCTTCCTTTTGTTAATCTGTGTATCACATTAATTGATTTGCAAATGTTGGACCATCCTTGCATCTTTGGAATAAATCCCACTTGATCATGGTGTATGATCCTTTTTATATATTGTTGGATTTGGTTTGCTAATATTTTTTGACAGTTTTTGCATATATATTCATTAAAGATATTGGCCTGTAACTTTCTTTTTTTTTGTAGTGTGTTTGGTTTTGGTATCAGGGTAATGGTGGCCTCATAGAATGAATTTGGGAGTGTTCCCTCCTCTTCAATTTTTGGAATAGTTTGAGAAGGTTAGGTATCAGCTTCTCAGCTCTTTTATATGTTTGATAGAATTCCATGGGAAGCTCTCTGGTCCTGGACTTCAGTTTGCTGGGAGTTCTTTTTATTAGAAATTCAATTTGACTACTAGTGATTGGTCTGTTCAAATTGTCTGTTTCTTCTTGATTCAGTCTTGGCAGGTTGTATGGTTCTAGAAATTTGTTTCTTCTAATATGTCCAATTTGTTGGCATATAACTGTTCATAGTATTCTCTTATGATTTTTTTGTGTGTCTCTGTGGTATCAGTTGCTATTTCTCCTCTTTCATTTCTTATTTTGTTTATTTGGGTCCTCTCTTTTCTCCTTGGTAAGCCTGGCTAAAGGTTTATCGATATTGTTAATTTTTTTCAAAAAACCAGCTCTTGGTTTCATCTTTCCTGTTGTTGTTGTTTTTTTTTTTGGTCTCAATTTTATTTATTTGCTCTCTGATCTTTATTAGTTCCTTCCTTGTGCTGACTTTGGGCTTTGTTTGCTCTTCTTTTTCTGATTCCTTTAGATGGTAGGTTAGGTTGTTTATTTGAGATTTTTCCATGTAACACTGGACTAAATTTAATACAGTTGATTTAACAGAATAGTATATGTCTTCCTGAAAAGTGGTAGGTAAATCTGTTTTGGACATTGAAATTGAATTTGCACATAGTTATTTAGAGGATTTTTCCTTATATGTATTTATAAAACAAGGATTCCTCTACTTCTTTTATTTCTTAAGTGTAAACCTGAATTTTTTTTTTTTTTTTTTGCGGTACGTGGGCCTCTCACTGTGGTGGCCTCTCCCCTTGCGGAGCACAGGCTCCCGTTGCGGAGCACAGGCTCCGGACGCACAGGCTCAGCGGCCACGGCTCACGGGCCCAGCCGTTCCACGGCATGTGGGATCTTCCCGGGCCGGGGCACGAACCCGTGTCCCCTGCATCGGCAGGCGGACTCTCAACCACTGCACCACCAGGGAAGCCCTGTTTGTTATATTTTTAAATCAAGGCATACTACCTCTTATTTAGTTGTATTATTTTCCAACATAAGCATTGGAAATAATGGTATTGATTTACTTAGTTTTAATGGTTACTGAACACTAGCAGGACTGTTACAAAATTGATTTTGGAGGAACAGTACAAGTATCTGATTATAAACTATACTATGAAGTAGCTTATTATGTATTGAGATAAATTATTTAGCTTATAGTGGGAATGAATTTGGTAGTGAGCTCTGTCATAATCCTTCTCTTGTATCTTGAAGGTTATTGTTCAGTTCCAGCCCTCATCAGTGCCAGATGAATGGGGGACCACACAAGATGGACAGACAAGGCCCAGGGTTGTAAAGCGTGGAGTTGATGATAACCTTGATGAAATTCCTGATGGTTCGTACAGTTTGTTTAGGACTAAGGTCATTTTTAGACTACTCTATTTTAGAAAGATGAAAAAAGGAAATAGTTATTAGGATTACCTGCCATAACATGCAGAAATCAGCTAGGTTGGCACAGGTCTTTCCTTTTTATTACTTTTATATCTGTTTGCTCTTTAATTTAGAATTCTGTTGAAGGTGCACAAACCATGTAATATAGATTCTAAAATATATATTGTTGGGAAGAAGAACTTTGCTTGTTGAAACTAGGCTTTTGGCAATATTTTTGGGCTTGTTTTGTCATGCCTCAACTAGTTTGTATTACTTTAGTGCTGGAGTGGTGAATTTTTTCTGCAAAGGGCGAAATAGTAAATATTTTAGGCTTTGCAAGCCATGCAGACTCCGCTGTATCTCTGCTCAACTCTGCCATTGTAGAGTGAAAGCATTTGTATGCAAACAAATGGGCCTAGCTGTGTTGCAATAAAACTTTATTTATAAAAACAGGCAGTGAGCAGGATTTGGAAATAAATGTACTCATATTATGAATCTGTATGAAATAACCAGAGTAAAATAGTAGATTTAACTTGGAAATGTTCATGTATAGTATGTATGAATCTAACAAAGAGAAGGATTTTGGGAAAAGATTTTGAAGTTTTCTATTGGCAAGTGGAATCTTCATGTGGGGCTTAGTGCCCTGGGGAGTTGTGAAGAAATTACAAGGTTATGGAGCCTCTATAGGTACAAAACTGATGATTGTCATTGGCTCATAGCTTCTGGGATCAGAAATGGCCTGCTTCCTCCACTCCTTGGTCTAGTTCACTGTTATTTGCCAAGGTGGACTTTGAGCTGCGTTCATCTGATTTTGGCAAGTTTATGATGACAAAAGGGGTATTGAATATTGCTATTCAATTAAGAAAACCTAAACAGTCCCCAGCTTGTGTGTGTGTGTGTATGTGTATGTATGTATGTATATATGCATGGATGAATGTCTTTCTTTCTTTCTTTTGCAGGGGAAATGCCTCCGGTTGACCATTTGGTGTTCATAGTGCATGGCATTGGACCTGTGTGTGACTTGCGCTTTAGAAGCATTATTGAATGTGGTAAGCGTTAGTCACTTTATTTCATGAAATGATTGGAGAACTACTAGAACTTTTAAACCTTCATTTTTAAGATGGTTTCCAGCTGTATACTGTTGGCTGAGGGACTGTAAGAGGAGATTTAAATGATCACTGGGCAATACTACTTTGTACTTGATTTGCTCTTATGACATTTATAACTCATAAAATCCTAGGTTGTGAAGAATTAGAAGGGATCTTGGAAATAATTTAGCCTTTTTGACAGCCTCTGCCTGAGTACTTCCAGCCACTAGGAACACCTGTGCGTTGAACTGACTTATGGTGAATTACTTGTGAGAAGTTGTTTAAAGGAACTGTGAATCTGCCTGGTTTACTTCAATTTTGGAAGTTTTATTTTTATGTTTGTAGTAATAGTTCATATTTATTGAATACTTGGTATGTACCAAGTATCTTGCATGAGTTGTATCATTTAACCCTCACAATAACCCTTTGGGGTATAGGTGCTGTTACTGTTATCTTTACTATTAGGTGAGGAACTGAGGCCCAGAGGATGAGTTAACCTCTCCCGTGTCACGGTCTGTAGGTTCTGGAGCAGGTAATTTGATTCCAGAGTCTACCCACAGTGCATTTCTGCCTCCCAGTAGTGGTAGTTGAGCTAATGTTTTTCAGTCATTTATATATTCCTGTAAAATAATGAAACATGAACAAGAACTTCTGAAAGGTTTTTTTTCTTTTTTGGACTAATTTTGTCATCTTTTTTTTTTTCTTGAAAAGTTTGTGTTATAAAAAATACTGGCGTAAAAGAGGTAATTGCTAACTACTTAATCAAGCTAGGAAAATTTAATCAAGTTAATTTGTCTTCCCAGATTTTTTTTTTTTTTACATCTTTATTGGAATATAATTGCTTTACAATGGTGTGTTAGTTTCTGCTTTATAACAAAGTGAATCAGTTATACATATACATATGTTCCCTTATCTCTTCCCTCTTGCGTCTCCCTCCCTCCCACCCTCCCTATCCCACCCTTCCAGGCGGTCGCAAAGCACCGAGCTGATCTCCCTGTGCTACGCGGCCGCTTCCCACTAGCTATCTACCTTACGTATGGTAGTGTATATATGTCCATGCCTCTCTCCTGCTTTGTCACAGCTTACCCTTCCCCCTCCCCATATCCTCAAGTCCATTCTCTAGTAGGTCTGTGTCTTTATTACTGTCTTACCCCTAGGTTCTTCATGACATTTTTTTTTTCTTACATTCCATATGTATGTGTTAGCATACGGTATTTGTCTTTCTCTTTCTGACTTACTTCACTCTGTATGACAGACTCTAGGTCTATCCACCTCATTACAAATAGCTCAATTTCGTTTCTTTTATGGCTGAGTAATATTCCATTGTATATATGTGCCACATCTTCTTTATCCATTCATCCAATGGTGGACACTTAGGTTGTTTCCATCTCTGGGCTATTGTAAATAGAGCTGCAATGAACATTTTGGTACATGACTCTTTGAATTATGGTTTTCTCAGGGTATATGCCCAGTAGTGGGATTGCTGGGTCATATGGTAGTTCTATTTGTAGTTTTTTAAGGAACTTCCATACTGTTCTCCATAGTGGCTGTATCAATTTACATTCCCACCAACAGTGCAAGAGTGTTCCCTTTTCTCCACACCCTCTCCAGCATTTATTGTTTCTAGATTTTTTGATAATGGCCATTCTGACTGGTGTGAGATGATATCTCATTGTAGTTTTGATTTGCATTTCTCTAAAATTTTTTTTTTTTTTTAAGTGGATGATTTTAGGGTGGTTTCTCTCAAATTGCTGCAGACACATTTCAAGAAATCTTTAGATGATCGGAAAGTAAGCAGAGTGGAATTCCTTCCGGTTCATTGGCATAGTTCCTTGGGTGGGGATGCCACAGGTGTTGACAGGTTTGTGGATTTTGATAGCTTGGTTTTCAGATTAGTCAAACTTAGATTCAAATTTTAAACTATAGTATAAAGTAGTTTATTATGACTTCAACAGATATACTTAAAAACTTTATATACTTGCTCTGACATATGATTAAACACTTAAGTTTATGTGCTACTTTGTGTGTGTGTGCACAGGCACGTATATACGTACATACATATGTGTGTATTCCTATTGTAAATATTTAAGAGAATCTAAGAAACTTAAGCTGGTTTTAAAATACTGATCTATAGTGGTTCACACATGGGGCTGTCCTGTACACTATAGGATGTTTAGCAGCATCCTAGGCTTCTACCCTCTAGATAAGAGTAGCACGACCTTACCCTTAATTTAACAACCAAAAATGTCTCTAGTCATTGCCAGATGTCCCCTGGGGATAAAATCGCCCCTGGTTGAGAACCACTGATTATTGTTTCTCAGTGGAGACTCTTCTGGCAGGACAGTTCTGTGTCATGTAAGACTGTTGTGTGTATTGTAGGCCATTTAATATCCTTAGTCTAAATGCCAGCAGCACTTACCAGGCACTGTGACAACTAAAAATGCCTCCACTCAATTTGGAATGCTTCCAGTTGGGAAGCACAGATTTAGAAAATATTTATGCTGGGGACACAGGGCTAATGACCTACTTGGATTTTAGTGAACGTCATGATGTTTCAGGGCACATGCTTTAATAAAACTAACCCTACAAACATTCTATTCTCTCCATGTGAAGCCCTGTTATGGGGGTGCTTTCTCTCTCTTTGGGTATTCCTGAAGTATGGCCATTCTCAAATCAGGAAAGATTTTCATTCCATTAAGCTCCTTTTTTACTTCTTGCTACATTCTCTATTGTCCTGGCCACCCACAATTTTTGTCAGGTATCTTGATTTCCAGTAAGCTGGAAGAAAAATGGCTTTCCTCTTTAAAAATGAATTAAAAATCTTCGCTTTGGCCTTATTTTATATGATAACTTCAGAGAATCCCCAAGTTCATAGTATAGTTATAGGCACAAAATGACAACTTTTTTGGTTTATCTTGATTTGTTTACAGTAACTGTCTCTAAAATGAACTCATAATTAGCCTGTGGGATCTTTTTTTACTTAGTGTATTTTCAGGATTCAAAATTGAAACTTTTAAAAACCGATAAATTTAAGGTGCTTACTGACTAAACATACTTCTTTTTCTTTCTGAACAGGAATATTAAGAAAATCACTTTACAAAGTATTGGTCGGTTTCGTCACTTTACTAATGAAACCTTGCTAGACATTTTATTTTACAATAGCCCCATCTACTGTCAGAGGATTGTGGAGAAAGTGGGATTGGAGATAAACCGTCTTTATGCACTATTCATGAGTCGGAACCCAGACTTCAAAGGAGGGGTCTCTGTTGCTGGTCACAGTTTAGGTAAAACTTCCAAATATCCACATTTTAAATACAATTTTTGTTGAGTCATCCCTGCTTTCAATGTGGGTGACATTGTTAGTTCAAGATTTAGAATTATAGATTTTAAGTTTTATAAAGGGTAGAAATGAACGCTTTGAGTTTACATTCTGCCTTATTTGCCTTTCATGTTACCTAGGAATGCTTTATATTTTAATTCTACTACTTGGTAACACAAGAATATTGATTATCAGATCTTGATTAACATCTGACTTTATGTGACTTCTGCTTGGGACTTTGAACAAAAAAAAGGAGAATTTATTTAGTGTCATAAAAGCACCTAGTACATTATAAAGCAAAATGCTTCTTTTTTTTTTAAGGTTCTTTAATATTGTTTGACATCCTGTCTAATCAAAAAGATTTGAATTTTTCCAAGTCTCCTGAGCCTTTAGCTGTTGCTAATGGAGTTGTGAAGCAGCCACATTTTCAGGAAAAACAGGTATGGCCCAGTTGACCTCTAGATTCAGAGTTGGAGCTGAAGAGTTTTCCACAATCTGAACTGATTCTATGTAACAAAATACCCTGAGCTTTAGGAGTACAATGGAATCATAGAGCTCATTATTTGAATTTCTCACTTGTCTTCCTTATGTATTATAAATTTAAATGTGAGAGACAGTTTATGGTTTCTTTAAAAAATGTGAAGTAAATTATTGTAGGAAATGGGAGCATGCGTGATTTACTAAATTTATATACTTTTTCAGAATATTCAAACTTTGGATAGCAAACTGCCAAAAATTATGATTTGTGTATAGGACAGAATTAAGATTTTTCCATAGATCAGAAGACATTTTATGAGAACTTTGTAATGTTTTCCCAACTTTTTTTTTAAAAGATACCTGAAGAGCCAAAGCTGACGTTGGATGAGTCTTGTGACCTTGATGTTGAAAATGAAGAAGTCCTGACTTTGCAGGAAACTCTGGAAGCCCTTAGCCTCTCTGAATATGTTAGCACTTTTGAAAAGGAAAAGATTGATATGGAATCTCTGGTACTGATGATAGTTGGATTCATTTTTGTCTAAAATTGTTTTTTCTATGTATGGGATTGAAGATTAATAAGATTTAAACACTTTTACATCACAATGCATTCAGTTAAGGCAGAGACTTAAACGTTTAAAAAAAATTGAAAAAAACAGGAGAACTTTTTAAAATAATCTGGGAAGGCTTTTCTCAGTATGACATAAAACCCAGAAACCATAAAAGAAAAAAAATTACATAGCAGGGGATGGCATAAACAACATCTAAAGGCCAACAATAGGTTAAGACGACTGTTTGCAACACACATTATAAACAAAGGGTTGATTTTCTTATTATTCAAAGTTTCTATAAGTTAGTTACACAAAGACCATCAACACAATAGGAAAATAGGCAAAGAATATGAACAGATGATATTCAGAAAAGAAAATAACAAATGACTTCTTATCATATGAAAACTCTTAAGAGAAATATAAATTAAAAGTTCAGTGAGGGACTTCCCTGGTGGCGCAGTGGTTAAGAATCAGCCTGCCAATTCAGGGGACACGGGTTCGAGCCCTAGTCTGGGAGGATCCTGCATGCCACATAGTGGCTGGGCCCATGCGCCACTATTGCTGAGCCTGCGCTCTGGAGCCCGTGAGCCACAACTGCTGGGCCCGTGCGCCGTGGCTACTGAGGCCCTCGTGCCTAGAGCCCGTGCTCCGCAGCGAGAGGAGCCACCGCAATGAAAAACCCGTGCACCACAACGAAGAGTAGCCCCCGCTCACCACAACTAGAGAAAGCCTGTGTGCAGCAACGAAGACCCAACGCAGCCAAAAATAAATAAATAAATAAATTTATTAAAAAAAATAAAAGTGCAGTGAGGTTTTTTGGCAAGAATAGTTTTGGCAAAGAATAGTTTGGCAAGAATATTAAGGGTTTGATATTAATATACTATGTGGCCAGGATGAGGGGAAATAGGAACTGATGATAGTTTGATTCATTTTTGTCTAAAATTGTTTTTCCTGTGTATGAGGAAAGAATTCTATATGACATGCATGTATTTTTTGTTAAAAATTAAAAGACTGGGGCTTCCCTGGTGGTGCAGTGGTTGGGAGTCCGCCTGCCGATGCAGGGGACACGGGTTCATGCCCCGGTCCAGGAAGATCCCACGTGCCGCAGAGCGGCTGGGCCCGTGAGCCATGGCTGCTGAGCCTGCGTGTCCAGAGCCTGTGTTTTGCAACGGGAGAGGCCACAACAGTGAGAGGCCCGCGTACCGCAAAAAAAATTTAAAAGAATGACTTAGATGTGGAGGCCTAAAATTTTACAACCTAAATTAATTCATGATTTAAAAAAAATTACCTGAGGGTGGGGACAGAAAAGAAATTAAATAAATTGGATATTCAGTTGCCTTAGATGATATGGTTTCTTTTCATAATTTCCTTTTTTTAAATTTCAGTTCATGTATCATTAGATTGACTAATTAATGTGCTTGTTTGTTTTCTTTTAAAGCTTATGTGTACAGTGGATGACCTGAAGGAAATGGGGATACCCCTTGGACCCAGGAAGAAGATAGCTAACTTTGTAAAACATAAAGCAGTCAAACTGGTAAAGTTCATCTCTGCACCTAAAAGAAAAAACTCATCTGTGACTAGCTTGTTTATATTTTGGAAGTTTTTGTTAATACCATCATGGTTAGGTCAGCTACTGTGCTCCCTGCCCAAGGGCACAGTAATGGAGTTGATGGAAGGCCCGACTTGGGAGTCAGCCAGAACTGGATTCAAATTCCAATTAAGTGCCAGTTCCTGGTTTTCCTGGGGCTGAGCAAATTCTGGGATGAATGACTTTCAGCCTTAGAACTGTTATTTGGGAATTTCCCAGTGCAACAACTGGGTAAGTCCTGGGCAAAAAGATGACTTGGTCACCCTGATTCCCAGTTCAACCACTTATTAATTACATATTCATGAGCAATTTGCTTAACTTTTCTGGTCCGTGGTTTCCTTCATTTATAAAACAGGAGTGATAATGCCTTCCTTATAGGATTGAAGTGAGGATGAAGTAATGCGTGTGTAGCTTATCATCCAATAAATGTTAGCACATTTTCTCTTTTCCCAGTCCTTCTCACCATCTAAAGAGATAAGAAGGAACACAGATACATTTCATTAATTAATAACCAAAAAGAAAAAGTTGTCAACAATCCAAATCAGAGCAATAACAGCAGCAACTAGAAAGCATTTCAAAAGAATAAAACTATTGGGAATAACTTGTTTAATTTTCATTAAGTTAACTTTACAGAGATTTTCTGTATACTTAGAAAAATTAGGTAGCATTTAGGGTGGCTATTTTATTTTTATTGTATTAACATGGTCTTCGTTGATCCTTCCGTCTTTTGAACTTCTGTGGTTCTTTAATTTGTGTTACTTCTTTGGAACTTAACATATGCCACTTCTTTATATGTAATATGACTGTAAAGTCATAGGACTGATTTGTTATGATTAGCTTAAGCAATTGAGTTGTTCTGCATTTTATGAGTATATGTTTTAGATCAGGCATGTGCTGAGTTCTTGGGATTTGGAGATGAACTGAGGGTATGCTGTCTAGTTAGGGGGAGAGATTTGGCCACAGATGATGCATCAGTGCTGCTTGTGCTGTCAGAGCCAGGTGAGGCCTGCCCGGGAGAGAAGGGGCTGGGGTTGGTAAGAGAAGACTTCTCCAAGGTGTTGGTACTTGAGCTTGAAGGAAGGGTAGGGCCAGGGGAAATGGCCTTCCGGGAGTGGGCAAGTGTTTTTCTGCAGCGGAAACAGCAGTCGAGCTGAGAATAAGGTAGAGCACAGGGTCCCGAGGGCCCGAATAGCAGATGTGGCAGATTTCAGTTATGAGGGAGTGGTCCTCAAACACGTTCTTATGGCTGTGAAAGTCATGGTGCTTTTAAACTAACATCATGAAATGCTTACTTATTAATTTTTATTGCAAATTATGATTTAGCACCAAATCATCTGTTTAGTCTAAAGTTTAATTTTTACTTCAGAAATGTAAAAATTTAAAACTATGTGCTGTAAGCCGCATTATAAAATTTCAGCCATGAGCAAATGTGCTTATAATAAGTGAGTTTTTAGACATATTGATTCCTTCCTGGTTTTTCCATTAATATTTGCTGTCTTTTGCTGTTGGCTAGGGCCTACTGGCTGATACGGAGTACTAAAGGAAAAAACAATTGGAGCAAATCTTAAAGTTGAGACAATTCTATTATCAACTTGAATTTTACGTTAATTTTGTGTGTGTGTGTGTGTGTGTGTGAACTGGGCCACATTTTTAGCAGCAGTGTAAACCACTGGTTCAGTTCTAAGGGGACATGGTGTGAGAACCACTGCTGTAGGTCAGTGGAGCAATGAGGGCAGTTCCATGAGTGGGCTGGTGTTTTAGGGAGTTCACTTGGTTACAGTGCGGGGATGGAGTTGCAAGGGGATGAAGCTAGAGGCTGTTAGGAATCTCTGGGCATAGTCACTGTAATTATGCAGTGACTGATTGAGAGATGATAGGGGTGTAATAGGAAATGGAAAAGAAAGGTGCAACTCAAAACACATTTTAGACACAGAATAGTGTTTTTGATGGTTGATTGAAGGCAACAATGAAGACTGAGTTGAGAGGCAACATCTCTGGTGAGCACAGTGGTCACACCAAAACCAGGATTCAAGCGTGCTAGTGTTGTTCCTTTCCGCCAGGCTGTGTTCTCCAAGTGTGAGCATGTTCATCTCCATGTGCACATCAGTGAAGCACAGACCTGTAAAAACACAAAAAGAACAAATGAGAAGCTATGTTTCCAGGTACTACATCTGTCCTTGATTTTATTTTGTAAATAAAAAGAAAAAAGTAGAAAAGTATTCTATAGTTCTTGAAGAATCTCTAGAAGGAGCCTGGTTTGGCTCCTGTAGTAGCTTGGATATATAAGTAATGGCATTATAAGAATGTTTTGAAAGGAGTAAAACTATAAAGTCATCTTATTTTTTAAACTCAAAAGTAATTGCCTCTGGATGAACCATGAAACTTTCTCAGCCGTGTTGCCATTGATTGTTCTGTTATTCCTAGTTAACAAGGTGCTGCCAGATCAATAATAAGATAAAATGGTGTGTCCTGTTGATTTAGTGTAACCGAAATAATGGAACCAAAGTTAGTTAGCCTGTTATTTTAATAAAGAGGTCAAATATTTGTGGCCTGAGCTTTTCTTTCTCCTTTGTAAGCCATCTTATTCATTTTCCTTTGAAAAGGAATAATTTTTAGTGCTGGGAATATTGATACTCAAGTATGTGTATTTTGGCTCACTTTGTTTTAAAGTTATAGCGTGTGTCTAGGAGGGGAAACAGAACAGCAGTTCGCAGTAGAGCAGTTTAGGATCTGTTTAGACAGCCCTCTTAGCAATTTAGATTGTTAAGTTCTATGAGTATAATGGGAGGTACTTCCAAGTGAGAAAAGCAAATTTAAACTGAAGAACCTTGAACATGTTCTTCATTTTGGGTTTTAGGTTTAATCTTGTGGTTCCTCCAAAGGGCAGAGATAACGAAGCCTTCCAAGACGTTAACGGTGGAATCAGTTCCCAGCTGGCTGGTGGAGAGTTTTCTTTATCCTGTATTGCCTTTGAATTAACCAGTTGGATTTGTTTCCAGGTTTCCTAGTATTTGGAATTTATTGATAGACAAGACCAGTTTGGCCAGCTGTTTGGTTTAGGCACTGTCAGTAGCTGTTCTTTCTTTTAAAATTAATTATTTAATTTTTGGCTGCACCATGAGGCTTGTGGGATCTTAGTTCCCCAACCAGGGATTGAACTCAGGACCACGGCAGTGAAAGTGCCGAGCCCTAACCACTGGACCACCAGGGAATTTCCTGTCAATAGCTATTTAAACAGAGACTTAACACAGTCATTCACAGCTTGGGGAATGAGGGCCAGTGAATGAATCCACCATGACGGATGTTCACATTCCCCTGATATTGTTGCTGCTGTATCAGGGTGTGATCACAAACCCACACGAGCAGATTTTATCTCATTACTACAGAGGTACACCTGTTCTAGAGACGCTCCCAAAGATTTTCTTTACTTATTTATGAAATGCATAGATATTGAGTATTCACTACAGTAAGTTTTGACAATTTTTGTGCCTGTGTAATCACCAGCTAAAACAAGAACTAGAACATTTCTGTCACTCAGGTAGTTCTCTCATGCTTCTTTCTGGTCCACTCCCCCTCCCGTGCAACTACTATTCTGAATTTGCTCACTATAGGATAGTTTTGCCTGTTCTAGAAGTTTATATAAATGGAACCAACACTATACACTCTTTTGTATCTAGCTTCTTTTACTCAAAATAGTGTTTTTGAAATTCATATAATTGTTGTTTTATTTGCAGTTTACTCCTTTTTATTTCTAAATAGTTTTTCCTTTGTATGAATGTTCCACAATGTGTTTATCTGTTCTTCCCAGAATGCTTTTGAGGAAAATTTGTCAATGGCTCCGTGTAGACATAATAGTGTAAAGATGTTGAATAAATAAATTTCTCTTAAGTTACACGTCTTTATAGGAAGTATATATTTTACAGTTATATAAAGTACTTCTAAATTATCTGGCTAAAGTTGAGATCACAAAGGAAGAAATTGGCATTTTTAAAAACTTTAGTAAAATTTTAAACTACATAGAAAAGTGGAGAGCAAAGAATATACTAATAGCAAATATTTAGATTTAACTGTAGCTGTTTTGCTTTTGTTCTTAATTTTCTTAAGAATTTTAAAGTAGATTATAGACATTATGGTATTTTTTTCCTTAAATATTTAGTATGTATGTCTAAAAGGACATTTTCCTAATAATCACAATACTATTATTATGCCTAAGAAATTACTAATCATTCCTTAATATTGATATAGATATTTCATAGTGATAGCTGATAACTTTTTTTCCCTCAGTTCTATTATGAAAATTTGGTATTTCACAGGAACAGAAAAAAGCCTCAGAAAAGAAGGCAGTGATGGCTGCTTCGACAAAAGGACAAGAGGAAAGTGCTCAGAAAGCTAAAGAAATGGCTTCTCCTCCCTCAGAATCTAATGAGTCCAAGAGGAAACTCCCGCTCGGAGTTTGCGTTTCTTCTGTGCACGTTGATTATGAGTCTTTTGAAGTTGGCACTGGACAGGTAAGTTAACATATTGACTTGGGCCATGTATTTTATGTTGGAATCACATATCTTATTATTTGGGTTAGCTTTAGATTCTTTAAATATTTATTCAACAGTTTTTTTTGGTGGGGTGGAGAAAACTGAATTTCTCTTGATAAAAATTGTATGCTGCTTTCATAATGTTCGAAATGAGGGACTGAATGTGTACTGAACATATCACCTAGCTTTTGAAATTGTCCTTATTCAATTTTTTTCACCCCTCATAATTTTATAGCATTAGTGTCTTAGCCACAAGCAGTGGAAGTGGTGATAGTTAGAAAATTATTTTCAGGATATAATTAAACTTCTGTGAGAGGTGCTTGCTGCATTCCCTCATCTTATGTTTTTTATTACTCATAATTCTTCCCTGGGGGAAATATTCCTGTAAAAACCTACCAAATAGTTGATAATGCTGCATTTAATGATACATTGTTTCTCAATGGCTTAAAAGTATTAAAATCTTTTTAGACAATATTACTTTCAGTATATTTATAGTTGTTTATATGGTTCCATTCTCTTAAGTGAGTTCATGACTGATTTAAAGAAGGCAGGAAATGTTATTGGATGTTTGCTATAGCCTGTTCAAGCTTTTAAGCCTAAACTCATCCATAAAATTTGCATTTTATTTATTTATCTATCTATTTATTTATTTATTTAGGCTGCGTTGGGTCTTCGTTGCTGTGCATGGGTTTTCTCTAGTTGTGGCGAGCGGGAGCTACTATTCATTGCGGTGTGCAGGTTTCTCATTGTGGTGGCTTCTGTTGTTGCGGAGCACGGGCTCTAGGCACGTGGGCCTTCGAGCACAGACTCAGTAGTTGTGGCGCATAGGCTTAGTTGCTCCACGGCACGTGGGACCTTCCCGGACCAGGGCTCGATCCCGTGTCCCCTGTATTGGCAGGCGGATTCTTAACCACTGCACCACCAGGGAAGCCCCAAAATTTGCATTTTAAAAATGTCTTTTTTTAAACATGAGCAAACTTGAACAGCTTCTAGCAAATTAAAGGCAGGTATTTCTTCACCTACCTGTGAAGGTTGGAATGTCAGAGTTGTGGAACCAGGGGCTCCGCGCCATCAGGACACTCTCACCGCCTGCCTCTCCCTGGGAGTTGGCCTTCTCTTCCAGTGAACCTGGAATGGTGGGTGTCAGTGGCTCTGGGCTCATCTCCTTATAGCTTTATTACCATAAGAGGTGAAGGAATGTACCCTGATAGGTCCAGTTAGGAAACTTTTAAGGAGGGATTTTATTTGACCTCGTTTGAGTCTCAAGTCCATTCTGGACCAATTCTTGTTGCCTGGGGAATGGGGCATGGTTTGATTGACCCAGCCCAGGTCACATGCCATCTCCTTTGTTACCCAAAGTGTTGTTGTGGTAATCCACAGTGTGCATCATTCATTGCCAGAAAGCCAAGAAATACTGATTTAAGCAAAAGAAGAGGGGAAAAAAACATCTCTTAACCAGGACTAATCACCATTAGCAGTTTGAACAAGGCCTTCTACACTTTTATTTGAGCATATATTCTCATATATATTTTAACAAAAATGGAAAATACTAGAACATCATACATATCTTCCTTGACTTAGGATGGGGTTATGTCCTGATAAACCTATTGTAAATTGAAAATATCCAAAGTGAAAAATGCATTTAATATACCTAACCTACCCAACATCATAGCTTAACCTCACCTACCTTAAACGTGCTCAGAACACTTAACATTAGTCTATAGTTGGGCAAAATCATCTGATACGAAGCCTATTTTATAATAGGCTGCCATAACAAAGTATCACAAACTGGGTGGTCTTAAGCGCCAGAGACTTATTGTCTCACAGTTCCGTGACTGAGGTGTCAGCAGGGCCTTCTTCCTCTGAAACCTATAGAGGCATCCTTCCTTGCCTCTTTCTAGCTTCTGTTGGTTTGCCGGCAGTTGTTAGCGTCCTTTGGCTTCTGTGTGCATCACTCCAATCCTCCATCTTCACATGGCAGACTCCCTTTGCCTTCACATCATCTTTCCTGTGCATGCCTGTCTCTGTGTCCAAATTTCTCCTTTTTATAATAACATCAGTCATATTGGATTTAGGGCCCACTGTAATGCTGTAAAGACCCTATTTCCAAGTAAGGTCTGAGGTACTGGTACATTTCTCTTTTGGAGGGAACACATTCAACCCATAATGTTGGACATGTAGGCAATTTTTCATTCTTTTCAGCAATCCAGTGATAAACAGTTTTAAACCAATTTTCTGTGTACATTTTTTATTCTTTCTTTCAGTTAGATAACTGGAAGTATTTATAGCTGGGCCAAAGGACGTGCACATGAGAATGTTAATAGTGATTGCTACTTGCCCCTGGAAAGGTTGTGCCAGTTTGTACACCAACTGGCAGTTTATAAGATTGCCTCTCTCTTCTCTCCCTCACTAGTACTGATATTATCATTCTCCTTTAAAAATACTTAGTATTCTTACTTGTGTAACTTCTTCTAAAGAAATAATTTTTTACCTGAAAATAGATTTTAATTTTTTTTTTTTAGTATTTCATTTATGTCTTTGATAACTGTATCTCACTGTATTTCTTTGAGCACTATTTAGATGTTTTATCACCTATTTTTTAGGCTTTTGTGTGTGTGTGTGAGGTGCTGCTTTACCTATTTTTCTATTGGGTTGCTTTTCTCTTACTGATAGTTAAGAATTTATATGTTAAGGATATTGGTCCCTTGATGTAAATATTTTTTCCAGTTTATAATTTTTTTAACTTTGTTTTTTCTTCTCTTTTTTTTTCTGGAACTGGGGGAAGATACATAATCTTGAGAGTATCTTGTGGCCCTCATCAGTAGCAGAAACTATTGAATTTGCAAATATAAGGGCAAACAAAGGGATGTGAAGTCTAGACTTTGTTAGAAGGGCAGCCTAGTTAGTAGAAAGAGCATTGGTTTTGGAATTAGAAATCCTCATTCTGCCACTCACTGTGTGCTCCTGGGTAAGTGACATCACCTATTTGGACTTCACTGTCTTCGTCTGATAAGCGGGCACAAGGGTTCCTGCCATGCCCTTCGCTCTCCGTGGACCTCTGTCATGCACTTGGATTATGCCATTCATTGTTCTTCATTCTAAGGATACTAAAATGATGAAGACTCATATTCTGTCCCTGAGCAACAAACAAAAGAGCTTTGTAAATTATAGAGTGCTGTCCGAATGTGGGTGCTTTCTCTCACTCTAGGCAGTTCTCAGTGAACTGAGAGGTTTCCCCCAAACGAGCTCTTTTTGGATAAATCACATTTCTTTTTTTAAACATCTTTATTGGAGTATAATTGCTTTACAATGGTGTGTTAGTTTCTGCTTTATAATAAAGTGAATCAGTTACACATACACATATGTTCCCATATCTCCTCCCTCTTGCGTCACCCTCCCTCCCACCCTCCCTATCCCACCCCTCTAGGTGGTCACAAAGCCCCGAGCTGATCTCCCTGTGCTATGTGGCTGCTTCCCACTAGCTCTCTATTTTACGTTTGGTAGTGTATATACGTCCATGCTACTCTCTCGCTTTGTCACACAGCTTACCCTCACATTTCTAATGGAAAGAAACATGCCTATTGAATGAGGATGGTAGTTATAATAGAAGTAACAGTCATTGGATGCTTAAAATATGCTAAGCACTTTATGTGGATTAGGTTATTTATTTTTCAACCACATTATTAGTTGGACATTGTTATGATCCCCATTTTATAGATGAGGAGACTGAGGTGGAGGCAAGAGAGGTTAAGAAACTTGCCCAAGGTCAGTCACACAGTGGGGAGTGGAGTCGGGATTCAAACCCAGGCAGTTTGATTCTAGAGTCTGTAGTTTTGACCACATTTATAACTAAAATAAATACAATACTTCCATACACTATATATTTTATGCTTTTTACTTACTTCTTACTTACTTCTTTACACAGTAAGTAAAAGTATAGTCACAGGATGTATTAGTATGTAAAGATTTCAAATGGAAATTTTTTGGTCCTTTTCAGCTAGCAGCAGCTGTCTGTGACTGATTATCTGCACTGTAAGCCATACCTTGAGGGGCACCAGCTATACTGGGATGCTTTTAGTTAAGTGCAGTTCCAGTTTGAACTTTTGAATTTTGTATTACATGACATTGGAATGACCATCTTTCATTGTTTTCTGATCCTTTCTAGGTTTCTGTTGTTTACAACTCGTTAGACTTTGAACCAGAGATTTTCTTTGCCTTGGGATCTCCAATTGGTATGTTTCTCACTATTCGAGGAATGGATAGTATAGATGAGAACTACAGGCTTCCTACCTGCAAAGGGTTCTTCAATATTTATCATCCAGTGAGTGAACTGCATTTACTTCTATTTTGAAGAAGACGAAGCGCCAGTCCTCTTTATCCTAATAGATTCCCAGATTCTTATTTCTTAGGAATTAATACTGATTTTGATTTTGTACAACTCAGCTCTCTGACCTAAAAAATACAGTCTGATACTTTCTGATAAACTTTTCTACCAAAAAACCTTTGTTCAAGGAAATAATTTTCTTGCTTTGCTTGCCAAGTAATTTTACCCGCAAACTTGAAAGTCTTCTTATAATTACCAGTATTTGAATAAGGTGTGAAAAGAAAATAAAAATCTCTGGTTTGCCAGATACCTGTTTTATCACTCAACTAAGATATATAACTCAAAACAGCTTTTCATAGATTTCTAATTCTTCTGTTTGTAGCTTGATCCAGTGGCATATAGATTAGAACCTATGATTGTACCAGATTTGGACCTAAAAGCAGTTCTCATTCCACATCACAAAGGCAGAAAAAGACTTCATTTAGGTAAAAAGCAAATACTATAAAAACTTGTTTCCTTCCTGTCATTTTGTAATCTGTCATTTGTAATGAATTGTGTCCTTCCTGTCATTTGTAATGAGTTATGAAAATTTTAACACTTAAGTTCTTATTTATTTAAATGCCTACATTGTTCAGAACATGTTTACTAATTATTTGCAGGAGCTGTAAAGTTATGAATGAGTTCCTTCTCCTTAATGATTTCTCCTTGATAACATTCTAATTGTTGACATAATAAGGAATGGAGAAAGTTGGTAATAAAATGATGAGGTGCATAGATTTTGATAGAATTTGGTTATAATTTTTGGAATTGGGAAGCAAAGTAACTTTTGAAGTCATGACCAAACCATCAAGAAATAAAAATTTGATAAGTCAAGCAAGCTGTTTTTTCCTTGCTAACTAAACAAAATTTTCCTATTAAAAAAATTCATTAAACAAAATGGATTAATAATAATTCCAAGTAGGGTTTAGGTTTCTTTTATGCCTGCTAATGATGTATAGTACTTCTTGTCCATAGGTTTAAAAGAAGGAAGAGTGATCATGCCCTCTTATTTAAAATATCTTTCTTTTTTTTTCTAACGTTGCACCATGCTTTATAAACACAACTCTTTTGAAGTTAAATGAGAAATTTGATATGCTAAGATATGAATTCATATATTTTTTATTAGACAAAAACAGAAAAGGTGAAGGGGCAGGAGTTTCTTCATTTTTAAATTAGAAGTTTAAATTGTGGTTATATCAGAATCTCAAATTCTCAAAACCATTTCACCAATACGTATTAGAAAAACAGTCATCTTTTTAATAGTGTGGGCCCATTTTTTAACTTACAGTAGAAAAAACACATAAATATGCTTATTACATTTTTATGGTATTTGAACTCTTTTTTTGGAGAGAGGAAATGTATAGGTTTACGCTGGATCAAGTATAGTTGTTAAAAAATAATGACAGAATAAGACTCCTCAAAACATTTTAATACATTGGAATTTCTTGGCTCAGAAACTCCATATATTTGACATTTAAGAGAAGAGTAGGAAGAGATATGGGAATATACGTATATGTATAACTGATTCACTTTGTTATAAAGCAGAAACTAAGACACCATTTTAAAGCAATTATACTCCAATCAAGATGTAAAAAAATAAAAAATAAAATAATAATAATAAAAAAAAGAGAAGAATAAGAGGTCTTATCCTGTCTGAGAGCAGTATAACTTTTGTTTTAATTTTTGTGGTGCAGAATTTAACCCAGTAACTAATAACTTGATATGTCATCTTAATCTCTAGAGTTGAAAGAAAGTCTCTCTCGTATGGGATCTGATTTGAAGCAGGGTTTCATTAGCTCTCTGAAAAGTGCTTGGCAGACATTAAATGAGTTTGCCCGTGCTCATACCTCTTCAACTCAGCTGCAGGAAGAATTGGAGAAGGTAGCCAATCAAATCAAAGAAGAAGAAGAAAAGCAAGTAGTTGAAGGTAAATTTGACATTTGAGGCACTTTCCAGTACAGATATTATTTGTGAACATAGCACGCGTAAATTATTTGATGATGGTTTTCCACTGCAGTCTTTTTTGTTGCAATGTAGAGGCTCTTCCTACGGAAAATCAGTTAGGATAAACTGTACTTCAAAATGCATGTCATCCTTTTTTTTTTCCCTAGGTTTTGGGCTCATAGTTGCTGAACTTTTTACTCTGCAGGCTTAAAATTTTGTTGAGATTCATAAGGCAGGAGTGGAATGTTAGAGTTGAGAACTAAGTTAGTATTCAGGCATCTGAATGACCCCCTGTGAGAAATGTTCTCCTGGTACTGTGTCTGACTGTACCGTGTCGTTGTAGACTGTACACGTAATGTCAGGTCGTTGTGCTGTGATGTTTTTGATTCTTTCAGATTCTAATTCTATTTCCTTTCTTTCTACAACGCTCTCTCACCCCTTTTCTTCAAAACTTCTGTCGGCTCGTGGGCTCTTTCTCCTCTCTCTCGGGGAACCAGCCCCTCTTCCCCTGGCTCTTTGGAGGAATGGGAAGTGAGCCTGGTAGTTCCCCAGGTTGCTACGTGTGTCAAGCAGTATTCTCTTGAGCCCAGAAGGTCAGCTAAAGTCAAAGGATAATGATTAAGTGATTGACTTTGATATTGAAATGGTTTAAATTCTAGCAGAAAAGACTGTTGAAAGTCCAGATTTTTCCAAGGATGAGGACTACTTAGGAAAGGTTGGAATGTTAAACGGAGGCCGCCGAATTGACTATGTTCTTCAAGAAAAGCCAATAGAGAGTTTTAATGAATATCTTTTCGCTCTTCAGAGTCACTTATGCTATTGGTAAGTATTTTCATCTTTGATAACATTCATGTAGCCTTTACGTTGCAGCACATACAGCAGTTTTAGTGAGGTTCTTGCTGATTTACCATTTGCAATTTGAATGCCCATATATTCAAAATCAGTATTTTCCCCCTTTAGTTTAGTTATCCACAAGATGGCAGCATGTCTTCTGCCTTTGACCAAAGGCCTTTGGTACTTGCACACCGTTTTTGCAGGGATGCCTTAAACAGAATGGTAATGGTAGGGACTTTGAAAGCCATCCTTTTGTGTATCCTCCGTCACCAAGGAGAACTGCAGCACAGCTGTTTTGGAGCTGATTGGTATTCATCCAGTTTTTAAGGACAGCTCTGAGATTACACTACTTTATTTTCATTTGCCCTTCTTAGGTAGAATTGAATAGAACCAAAGCTGCATTCTCCATCTTTATGCATAGAGGTTAATTTCTTTCTTTTTTTAAAAAATTAATTAATTTATTTTTGGCTGCATCTTCATTGCTGTGTGCGGGCTTTCTCTAGTTGCGGAGAGTGGGGGCTACTCTTCGTTGGGGTGCGTGGGCTTCTCATTGTGGTGGCTTCTCTTGTTGCAGAGCACAGGCTCTAGGCACGTGGGCTTCAGTAATTGTGGCACGCGGGCCCAGTAGTTGTGGCTCGCAGGCTCCAGAGCACAGGCTCAGTAGTTGTGCACGGGCTGAGTTGCTCCACAGCATGTGGGATCTTCCCAGACCAGGGCTCGAACCCTTGTCCCCTGAATTGGCAGGCGTATTCTTAACCACTGCACCACCAGGGAAGTCCTAGAGGTTAATTTCTAATTATCTCTTAAGTAAATGTGCTTTTCTTTGTAATAGGGAATCTGAAGATACTGCCCTGTTATTACTTAAAGAAATTTATCGAACAATGAGCATTAGTCCAGAGCAGCCCCAGCATTGATTGGACTTCAGCTTCACTGTGTGAGTTTATCTTTATTGTGTGTATAAATTCTGAATGTTTCATTCTGAAGCCTCTTTTATGGAGTTGATGTTGACTATAATTTTTTCTGTTTCCTCTGAGTGTTTTTCTTTCTTTCTTTCTTTTTTTAAAAATTCAGAATAGAGACATTAAGGAACTGAACTCACAATACCTTAAAAAAATAGAGGTTTATTTTTCTTACATAACAGGAAGGGTTCGTCTATTGAGTGATGTCACTAGATCGTTTGCATCTTTTCACCTGCCTGTTGGCTCTTGTTGCCTCATAGTTATTAGATAGCTCCCATAGTTCTAGATAGCACATCTGTGTTTGGGGCATGAAGAAGGTGAGAAAGGGTAGTATTGGTTATATCTATCTATCTTAATTAGGAAAACAGAAGCATCTCTGAAAATTTACTCACGCCTGTTGAGTAAGCCTGTGTCACATGTCCCCCCTCAACCCCAAACTGCTTGAAAAATTGTAAAGGTTTTATTTTAAGCATCCGCAGTCATTATCGAGGGAAGGAATAGAGAAGGGGGTTAAACCTATAATGCATAAACCAACCTGCAAGTTGGCCACACTCTGTAACCTGACTGTTCTCCTGAGACAACTGATGCCAGTTTTTCCTCGCTAGATTATACATCACTTTAAAAAATAGGTAATGTGTTTTTTAAAAAGTTAGAACTTTTATAGCCTTTGATAGAGTGAAATGCAAAGTGGTGAGCTCTAGATTGTTGAAATCACAAGTAGTTCCTGGCACTTTTTGGTTTTTTAATCATAAATGATAAGTTCAGTCTTCACCTTCTTATTTTGGAGAGGTAACCACTTTTAGTAGGATTTTCTTAGAGAAATTTTCCTGTACCTGTCCAATCAAATATGTGTTCATGTCAAAACAAAGGGATCTCATTGACTATATTGTTCTGCAACTTGATGTTGTCGATCAGCCGTACAGCTTGCATAGTAACTTGTGTAGATCTTTCTCATTCTCTTTAATGGCTACATAGGAATCCATTGTATGGCTATGCCCCATCATATTTAACCAGCTTCCTGTTCATGGATATTTAGGTCATTTCCTAATGTGTATTAGAAAACCTTAACAGAGTAGGTAAGAGGTATAAAAGGCCATTTTGTAATCAGACTTTTGATACAGTTTTATCAGTTCTCAGCATTTCTGATATTATAATATTAAAATAAACTAAATGTAATGTCAAGAGTTACCTCAGTCCAGATTTTCAATTATGAAATAGTCATTCAGTTGGTTGACAGATATTTATTCAGCACTGACTATGTGCCAGACGCCAGTTTTCATCCTGGGGATAAGTGGTAAATGAGGTTGCATTCTCACCTTTAAGGAGATTGCCTTCTGCTGGGAGGAGGTTACAGTAAGCCTGTACTCTAATTCAAAAGTAAATGTCAGCTATTGATAGGTTCTGTGGAAAAGACAAAATAGGAAGAGGTTGAGAGTGACTGGGGGTGCTTCCAGGAAAGGCCTTGCCAAGCTGATGATGTGTGAGTCGAAATTTGAATGATGAGAAGGAGGTGGACACCTGGAGATACGGGGAGAAGAACCCAGGCAGGAAGAGCAGTTGCCAGCGCCATGAGACGGAGCCGATGTGTTGTGTTTGAGGGACAGAGAGCAGACCTGTGTAGCCAGAGGGGAGAAGAGGAGAGAGGTAGGTGGGCCCGGCTACGAGGGATCTGGTAGGACGCTCGCGTTTTACTCTAAGCGTAATGGAAACACTGGGCGTTTTTAAGAAGAGGAGTGACATAATTTGGTTAATACTTTAGAAAGATTGCTTTGGGTGCTGGGTGGAGGGTGGGCTGTTGGGCAAGGCTGGAGGGACAACAGGTAAGAGGCTGGTGGTGACTCCGACTAGGGTTGTAGTGATAGGGATGGTGAAAGATGATTGAACTCAGGTCTAGTGCGGGGGTAGCGAAGTCCAGGACTTACAGATGAGCTCAGTGTGGGGAGTGCGGGAAAGAAGAGTTAAGGATGGCCCTTAGGATTTTGATGTGAGCAACTGAGTGGTTGCTGGTAGGCTTGTGGGGGGAGCAGGGTTTCGGGGGTTGTGGGGATGGAGAGTTGGTAGTGGATGATGTTAGTCTGAAGATAATAATAACCGTAGAATCATCAGTACATACTTGCCACCTGAAACCAGAAACTGGATGAGGTCACTTAGGAGTGTGTCAGCAGAGAAGAGAGAAGTCTGTGAAGTGAAAGAAAATCCAGGGGCTCGTGGTCTCAGGGAAGCTGAGAGATCGTTTCAAGGAGAGAGCAATCAGCCATGTGAAATGCCACTGAGAGGTCAAGTAAGAGGAGGACCAAGAATTGGCCACTGGCTTGGAGAGGACATAGGACATCATTGGTGACCCTGAGCAAAGCTGTTTTAATACGGCAGAGGCTCAGTGGGCTGAGGGGAGGTAAGGGATCAGAGGAACGAGTTTCGCTGTGAAGGTTAACAGAAATAAGACAGGGACATTTTATGATATTAAGGTGCGTTCATTTGCTAATGACAGTGATCCAGTATTGAGGAAGAAGTTGAGAGTGCAAGAGCTAAAGGGGATATTATTAGAGGAAACACTTGAAAAGTCAATGGGGGATAGGGCCAGGGCAGATCGAAGGGTTTTGTCTTAGAAAAAGAGCAGGGCTGCCTCTTCCATGGGACTGGAGGAAGGCCGAGAGTGAGGGCACAGTATGGGTAGTGGGTAACTGTGGTGGTGGGTAGACCGGGGTTCTCTGGCCTCCTGTCCTAAGTGTGTGAGTGTAAGGTCATGGTCAAGGGCTGTGGGAGACGTGAGGAGAGAGGGGAGCAAAAGAACACTCACCTCAGAGTGTGGGGAAAGGGAATTTACCAGCAAAGTGTGGTAGGATTGTATTGCAGGCTTGAGTGCCCATTCGATATTTTGGTCATAAATTTGAAGTGAGTACAGTTAGCACGATCGCCTGACTTTTCTCTGGCCATGTGCTGCTACTTGGTTGATGTGCACAGTAAGAGATAATTGGGTTTACTAGGATTAGGGTTTTGCCAGGTGACCAAGACACGAGGAGCAAGACAAGGGAGCTAAGGGAGGTGATAGAGACTGAAAAAAGCGAGAGGTCAGTGCAGGATGAGGTCGAAGAATCACAGGAGTGAGGAGTTTCCCAGTGGGTGACCCAGAGGTTGGGATGGGAGACGCAAAGTGAGGATCACTGAGGCAGTGCTGGGAGGGAGTCACTGTGCCCTGGGATCTGGGTGCTGCGACCCTCTGCTAAACAAGTGCTCTGTGTGCTTCAAAAACCATTAAAAAATTATAAAACAATAGTGCCTCATACAGAAACTTCAGAAAAATGTAGAAAAGAAGCAGCAGAAATCACCTATAATCTTGCTAACTAAAAGTGTTAGAAGTTAATCCTTCTAAGCTTGTTCTAAGTCTTGGTGTATTTCATATATATTTTTAACATCTTTATTGGAGTATAATTGCTTTACAACGCTGTGTTAGTTTCTGCTTTATAACAACGTGAATCAGCTATACATATACATATGTCCCCATATCTCTTCCCTCTTGCGTCTCCCTCCCTCCCACCCTCCCTATCCCACCCCTCTAGGTGGTCACAAAGCCCCGAGCTGATCTCCCTGTGCTATGCGGCTGCTTCCCACTAGCTATCTATTTTATGTTTGGTAGTGTATATATGTCCATGCCACTCTCTCACTTCGTCCCAGCTTACCCTTCCCCCTCCCTGTGTCTTCAAGTCCATTCTCTATTCCTGTCCTGCCCCTAGGTTCTTTAGAACCATTTTTCTTTTTTTAGATTCTATATATATGTGTTAGCATACAGTATTTGTTTTTCTCTTTCTGACTGACTTCACTCTGTATGACAGTCTCTAGGTCCATCCACCTCATCGGTGTATTTCATATTATTTGCTATTTTGTAGCCTGTTTTTTTCCACTTGCGAGTGTATTGTATAGTTTTTCCACCTCAGCCTACAACATGGGTGTGTGTATATTTACCATTTTTATTTGTTTTTCTGAGTGGGTTATACATACAGTTGGTTCAGCTTTTATTTATTTATTTTTTAGGAAGAGACTTCCTTTTTAAAAAAAAAAAATATATATATATATATATATTTATTTAGGCTGCGCTGAGTCTTAGTTGCAGCATGCGGACTCTTAGTTGCGGCATGCAGGCAGGATCTAGTTCCCCCACCAGGGATCGAACCTGTGCCCCCTGCATTGGGAGCGTGGAGTCTTACCCCCTGGAACACCAGGTCCCTGGTTCACCTTTTAGAAGTGACAGAAGAGAGGGCCCTCCCTCTTACACTTCTTCCCCAGTGTCCCTGCCCGGAGGCAACCAGCGTTCCTAGTTTTGTGTATCCTTCCAGACATCTGCTAACACATACATGATTTTTTCCTTTTTAAAAGACAAATACTAGCAAAATAAGACATGCTTCTTGTGTTTGTATCTTTGAGATTTTCCCATATCCATCCACCCATCCATCCATCCACCCATCATCTATGCATCATTCACTGAGCACCTTACTTACTAAGTGCCAGGTACTAGTGTCGGGGCCCCGGGGTTCAAACAGTCTCTGCCCTCAAGGATCTTCTTTCCTCTGGGGGAGGACAGACTGTAAATAAGCAATGGAAGTGTGCCGGATGGTTAAAAATACAGCAGCAGGAAAAGGGTGAGAGGGAGTGCATTTGGGATGGGAACAAGTTGCTGTTGTATATAAAATGGCAAGGGACATCCTCACTGATAGAATGTCATTTGAGCAAGTGAGCCAGGTGGATATCTGGGGGAGGAAGATCATCTCAGGCAGAAAGAATATATATCAGAACAAAAGAGCCGCCTTATTCTTTTCAGTGATTGTGTAGTATTCCATTGACTGTTACACCGTAATTTGTTTAACTGTCCCTTACTGATGGGCATATAGGTTATCTAATCTTTTACTAGTATGAACAGTGCTTCAGAGATACATGGATATTTAATAGTTGCATTATATTTCATTTTATAGTTCTGTTTATTAAAATCCTTAATTTATCTACCACTGTTGCACATTTAGGTGA